CTTCTTCTTCTTCTTCTTCTTCTTCTTGCTTCTTGCTTCTTGCTTCTTGCTTCTTGCTTCTTGCTTCTTACTTGTTGCTAAATTATGGCTGTTATTGCGCCGATATGTTTCTTTTTACTCAAAATAACCACCACTTTCCGACTTGTTTTTCTCCCTCCCCCCATCCCCACCCCTTCCCACATCAGATGTCGTGTCGGATGGCAGGGTCAGTTCTGCACAGACTGCATCCCTTACCCAGGCTGCCAGCGGGGCACCTGCGACAAGCCCTGGCAGTGCAACTGTGACGAGGGCTGGGGTGGTCTCTTCTGTAACCAAGGTAAGTGTCACGAAACCAATACTGGACTAAGGTCTTCATATTTTTAAGTCCATTTTTTAAAGACTCCCTTACTGGCTCTCCCGTTTTGTCTTTTCTCCACTAAGTACGCTGATAAAATAACAATGATTACAACTAGAATTGTGGTTTTGGAGCCAAATACCTATTTTTTTGTTAAGATATCCGTGTGTGCCTGCGTGGAAAACTCACTACTACTTGAATCGTGCACGTTAAACTGAAAATCAATAGCTTCCTATTCTGTAAATAATTGTCCCCAATTTATCTGATATATATAGAGAGAGAGTTTCATTTGACTGCCTTTGTGGACAGAAAGGAATCACCGCAATTACTCTTCTAACCACTTTTCTGTTTCTTTGCCACCCTCCAGACCTGAACTTCTGCACTCACCACAAACCCTGTCGTAACGGAGGCTTGTGCGCCAACACGGGCCAGGGTAGCTACACGTGCACCTGCGTGGGAAGCTATGCTGGGGTCAACTGTGAGCGGGAGCTGGACGACTGCAAGAACAAGCCCTGCTTCAACAACGGAGTCTGCAAGGTAAGCCGGAGGGGGAAGGAGTTTGTTGTTTTGTTTTGTTTTGGTGCTGTCTGTTTTGGTTTGTTTGTTGGGGTTTTTTTTAAGTTGGTTCTTTATTGGAGGGTAGGGAATGCAGTAGTCTGTCGTTATTGTTTTCATTTTTATTTTGTTTGGATAAGATGCCCTCTCCTCTTCCAAGATCTTTTGTCTTTTTGTCTCTGTCTCTCACTCTCTTTCACACACACACACACAACTTGTCTATCTCCCTCATTCTATCTCTTTCTATCTTTCTCTCTTTCAATCTCTCTCTCTCTCTCTCTCTCTCTCTCTCT